AGCAACAGCAGCAGCATCCTCCTCATTATCATCATTATCAGCAGCAGCAGCAGCAACAACAACAGCAGCAGCAGCAGCATCAGCAGCATCATCATCAGCAGCAGCAACAGCAGCAGGATCATCGTCGTTGATGATGATTATTACGGGGACTCAGCTGTTTATCTGACTGTTCAATTACATTATCAAGTGTCGAATGTGAGAGAGAGAGGAGGAGGAGGAAGAAGAGGAGGAGGAGGAGGAGGAGGAGGAGGACGACGCAGAGCATTGAAGAACAAGAGGAAGAGGAGTAGGAGGACGAGGCATGGGAGGAGGAGGAGGAGGAGGAGGGGAGGAGAGGAGGAAGAAGAGCGGAGAGGAGAAGGAAGAAGATGAGGAAGGAGAGGAGGAGATATGAGGAAGAGGAGGAGAGGAGAGAGGAGGAGGAAGGAGCGCAAGAGGAGAGGAGGAAGGAGGAGAGGGAGATGAGCGGGATGAGGAGGAGGAGGAGAAGGAGCGATCACAGAGGGAGGGAGCGGAGGAGGAGGAGGGAGATGAGCGGAGGAGGAGGAGGAGGAGAGAGGAGGAAGGGAGGAGAGGACGATTCGGTCACTATCATTAATTAATCACTTATAGCGATGATCACACCTGCTGCATTAACGCACACGTACACGCATTAGTCACGAATAGATGAAATGGGCGAAAGCGCAAATTCTTCGTAATTGGCTATTGTGCTTTGCTGGAGATTTCTCGTTGAAATTTTCATGCGCATAATTTAAGAGGCAGCGAAAGAGAGAGATGCGCGAGAGAAGCGATGAGCGTGAGAGCAGATAAGAAAAGAGGAGAGAAGGTGAGAGAGAGAGAGAGGAGAGAGAAGAGAAGAGAAGATGAGAAGAGAGATCAAACAGCGACGATGAGAGAGAGAAAGCGACAGAGAAAGACGGAGCAAATCGATAAAAGAGACAATGCGCAACGCTCCGCGCGCGCGCGCCGCCGGTGTGGTGTGTGTGTGTGGTGTTTGTGGTGTTCTGTTGTGTTGTGTGTGTTGTGGGGGGGGCGGTGTATGTAGTTTGTTGTTAGTGTGGGGATGTGTTTGTGGGGGGGCTTATGATGGTGTGTGTGTGGTGTGGGTGTGTGTGGTGTGTGTGTCGTGTGTTCTTTGGTGCTGTGGTTGTGCATGTGTGTTGGTGTCGCTGCGTCGGTGTTGGTGTTGTTGTGAGCTCTGGATGTGTGTTCTGTGTGTGTTTTGTTGTGTTTGTTGCTTGTGTGTGTGTGGCCTGTTGTGCTGTGTGTGTGTGTGAGTGTGTGTGTGGTATGCTATGTTGTGTGTTGTGTGTGTGTGTTGTGTGTTTAGTAGCAAGAGAAGAGGCAGAGAGAGATGAGATAGAGAGAAATAAATGAGAAAGTATCCGAGAAGCTGGGGAATGAAACTCATCAACTCTTGTTAATGTTTCTGTGATAACAGAAGCAATTAAGGCACACTAGAAAATTTAGCGACACATTACATCCAGATCTACTACGGCCGACTAGGTCAGGTTATTAATCGCTGTTGTTCCTATTTAGGCTATCTTACCTTCACACCATATAGTTAACAAACGCATACTGGATATTATGCAATGACAGCGTAATATCATACTACGGAAACTCAGAAAATCATCCACATTGAAACTAAAATTAAAAATTAATTCGCTATTCAAATTAAAAGACTCCGCGACCAACCAGGATCACGTATTACTTGTACACCCTCATCAGCTGACCAATCATACGCGATTGATTCACTCGCCATCTTCGAAGATCTTCGAGATTCGAATGAAATTTTTATAATAAAGCTGCCATACAGTCTTTATTATACAGATGTTATAAACATTGATATATATGTATATAAGGTTATTATATATATATAGTATTTTTATAGGTCTGTATATACCATCACCATGTGTCTACGCGCTCCATACCTCCCCCTACAAAGATATACGACCAACACAGTGCTGAGATACGGCGGCCCGTCCCCACTAGCAGCCACCGCTCTATGCCTTCAGTTATGACCGGTATTTTTTATCTTTTGCGTTCGCATAAAAACAAAACCAAATCGGCCAAATTACGCGTGCGTTGCGTTTGATTTGAAAACTGGCAGCTAAATCGCAATAATTTAGCTTGGCAGTTAGCCTATTTCTTGTCCCCCATTATATCACTGATACAGTTATAGTCTTGCTGTGTATATTATATATATGTGTTGCTTGTTTTGGCAGAATTCGCATACTGTTTACCAGCAAGTGGTCCTGTACCCTGGCGAGACGCGGATTCCTTACACTGCTACACACATTAGAACTGTCAATTTTGCCGATCGCAAGTACATATAGTATTATATAGTATATAGTAGTAGTCACGTAGTATTAAGTAGTAATCGGCGCGGTTAGCAGCCAGCAGCGAGCAGCAGTAGCAGCAGCAGCACCATATACTAGTAGCTAGCAGTAAGTAGTAGCCAGCAGCAGAATAGTATATATAGCAACAAGCAGCAGCCAGCAGCAGCAGCAGCAGCCACTGCATCAACCCAGCAGTAGTAGTATAGTATAGTAGTATTATAAGTAGGATAATAGTAGTAGTAGCGGCAGCTAGCATCAGCAGCAGCAGTAGCACCCAGCGCACAGTATAGTAGTAGTAGTAGCCATAGTAAGTAGTAGTAGTAGTTGTTTTAGTAGTAGAGTAGTATATTAGTAGTATACTAGAGTATCGTATATGGCTTCAAACATCACACCTCCACAGCCAAAACTACCAAAAGAGTTCGCCACAGCCATTTAAGGACATATCGGTCTCCGTCATCAAACTCATTACGACAGTTTAATCACCAGAAATGATGCGTAGCTTTTGAGCGCCGGCATGCACCTTGACATGCAGGCACCGTTGGCTAATTAATCCCCATCTTGTAAGTCGCTGCCAGTATGATAGAAGATGTGTGTGTGGGTGTCGTGGTGTATGTGCTGGTTGTCATGTGTGTGCGCCGGCGCGCGCGTGTGTGTGTGTGTGGGTTGTGCAGAGTGCTGTGGTTGTTGCGTCGGTGTGTGGCCGCGTGTGTGTGTGTGTGTGTGTGTGTGTGTGCTTGTGGCATGTGTTGTGTGGTCGTGTGTGTGTGTGTGTGTAGTGTTTGGTGTGTGCTTGTTGAGCGTGTGTAATCTGCCCTCAACCAGCACGTAAGCACCATCGCTGCTGCTATCTATCAGACGTGATAGTTGAGTAGTAATACGCAAGTGCGGATATCAAATGCTAGAAGCACTCAGGACTTCATAACATAGCACCACCGCGAGAGCACCAGACCTAACCAAGGCAGCGAATCCTCTGATAGCTGAATTTTTATTAATTAATTTAAATAATTAATGGAATAATTAATGATTAATTAATTTAATTAATTGATCCGATTTATGTGGCTGAGCGTGACAGTGGGGGAGATGATGGTGGCCCTTAACTGTTTGCGTTTTGCTAAGTCTACAGCCAGGCGCACCTAGCCGGCACAGGACTGAAACGGCATGTCCACAAACACACCAAACGCCACAAACACAAAACCAACACTCAAAGACACGCCGCCGTGAAAACATAACCTCGCCAACCCCTGCGGATACATAATCACATCTTAACTAGAGCACTCAGGAGAGCGCAGAACCTCCGCCAAGCGGCCTGAAATTCTCTCAATGTAAATTTTTTACTTAATGGATCCGGATCCACCAGCAAAATTAATCAATTTTAAGTTACCCTATTTTACCTATCCTGAAAATGTTTTAATTAATTAATTAATTAATAATTAATGGACCCGGACACCACCAATGTAATCAATCGAATTACCCCATTTACGGAACCTATCCTAAAATTTATAATTAAACATTAATCCTGGATACCGATCACCACTCAACAAATCTAATCATGCTAAGATGGTGAGACCC